TGACTTGTGAGCAGTCAGCGTGGTAGCTGTCTATTGTTATTTTATATATCAGTTATTTTGTGTGCTAAACTGTCAAACAAAACTTTGGATTCAATTCTGTTGATCAATCTCTACCTCCACCCGCATTGTACTTTTATAACAAAATATCACAAATAAAGTAATTTATAATGAATGAAAATTTGTTGTCCTACATTTCTGGAACATAGATGTCTAACAACAAGATGGGAGATGCCTTCACCTGCTGAGAGACTCTTTGCATCATCATGATGAAAAGGAGGTAAGGGGGAGAAAATAAGAGGGGAGTGCAGGAACCCCATCAGCAAATCCTTCATAACATCCTCCAGAGGGCCTACCTGCCAATACTGTTAAATGTGGGTTAAGGTTCCATGTGATTTGGGAAGTTAAAAAGCCTTTAAAGGATACAAGCCATGTGATGTGGACATTTTAACTGTTCAATGAAATAGAGTTTGATAGCTTGGTTTCTAAGTCATCTCTATCGCATTAATTGCACATTTTGATTAATGATGTATATTCTCTAAGTTCAAATTGTATTTGTTTAAGCAGAAATTATAGTTAAAATATTTTTTAAAGATGCCAAAGTAAGCATAGAGCGGTGTGACATAATAGAAATTGATGAAATAGGAAAAGGCATGAACATACTCTTGCATTACCAACCAGAGTGCCAGTGTATATTTACCTCTCTAAACACAACACCTCCTCTACCTTGCCTCCTCTACCACTACCAACTTCTCCTTTCCTCTACTTTTATAAGTTCCCATTTGCTCACAGATTCAACGTAGATATGGAGTTATTACTTTATCAACTGTAATTTCTGCTGAAGTAAAGCTGATTTTCCTAGACTTGTTCATAATGTGTACTAACTGTAATCTTTTGTAAATATCACAGTCTTTTTTACTTTTTATCTCTAGATAACTATAAAACTATTTCAAAAATAAAGAATAATACAATAAAAATAAACACTAAAGAAAGGGAATTAAACATTTTTTCTTTTGAAATACTAGCTAGTTTAATTTAGCTCTCCAATTGTATAATCCTTAATTTTCTGTTTCCATTTTGCAGATTAAAGATTCTAAGTTTCTTTTTCATTTCTAGTAACTTTGTTGTCCATGTTTTTGCTTTACTACCATGCATTGAAAATAAAAAGGTTTGCTTTTCAAAATTTCAATACATGTGTTTGATTAAATACATACTACTCTCCCTCCTCTCCATCTCTTTCCATATTCTCACTAATATTTTCCTTCTATACTTCATGTTTTTTCAAAACCCATTAAATCCACTTATGCTTTTATGTGAATGGCCATGGACAGAAAAAAAGCTTCCTTTTACTGACACATTTTGTCCTTTTGTCAAGAGGAAAGATAGAAATCGGGTACCTGCTGTCCTCCTTATTTTACTTTGTGTCCCAAACCTGTATTTCCCTTAAGCAATCTGTGTAAGTCTACTTAAGATAGAATAAACTAAGAAAGAGAAAGAAAGTGCGTGCTGCAAAAGTATGATGATTCTAGTTAGAATCCCAGAAGGTTTTTAAAAATTCTAGCACTGAAACATACACTGGAAAATCCAGTGTTATAGACATAGCTACACAAAGATCACTGAGGTTTTCTGGACAACAGTCTCACTAAAAATCAATGCACGTTCTGGGTTCTGTTGAAAACACTACCTCAAGGGAATGAAGTTGAAAATGATAGAGTAGAATATTCCACATCTCCACATGCACACACACACAAACATACAGAGAGAAAGAAAGAGAGAGAGAGGAGAGAGAGAGAGAGAGAGAGAGAGAGAGAGAACTAGCAGAATGCATTTTTACAAGCTAGAATGAGAATTAGAAAAATGGAGAGAATCAATTACTGTGCAGTTCTGTGCTAGGGACACTTTACCTTGTTCTGTAAGGTTTTGAAGAAAAGTCTCAGAATTCTTGGTGACAAGTTATGAGTTTCCAAGATTCCAGAGCAAAGACAGGAGGCAGAGCCAGTGGAGGAAACTGTAAGAAATAGGACAATAGTTTCTGATGGACCAACTAGTTCCTTGTTTGATGATTAATCGCAAGAGCACAACAGAGCAATTCTGTTTTGCTGCTGCCCATGGCCAACCTTGAATTTCTCTACAAGAAAAATGAAAAGGAGTAAAACTTTAAAGTTAGAAAAGTTTTATGATCTACTCAATTTAAGTGAAAAGCTTGGTGTTTTCTTGTTTTAGACAATGGTTCACTTTCTGTTACCTTTTTTAAAAAATATAGTCTGTGTTTATGGTTTGGTAGATTTTCACAGTGAGAGATGAGTTGTATAAACATCCTTTATATCAAAAGTTTCCCTCCCTAGTGGTCTCTGGTGAAATGGGAAACTAATGAAAGACACCGGCCAATGAGGACACCAGCATGAAATGGTCCTCAACTGGTTAAAGTGAACAATAGGCAGTTAATTTCTGTTAGGTGCTGTTGTTTAGATTAATCACAACTTGTCTTTAGTTGAATAAAGGTCTCTCATAACAAAGTACAGTAATTTTTCAATGTCTTTACTAAAGCTTTCTTTTATGGAAAGAATGCAGCTTTATTGAAGTATAATTGACATATGTCAACCTATGTGTATTTAAATGAACAGAGAATTTGAAATAGATATGTATACACACTAACCCATTGAAACCATTCTAATTGCATTGTTATTTCCCATACTTTTTCCTTTCTCCACAATGTCTCATGTCTGGTTCACATATATTCCACCATTGTCCTCCCATAACAGTAACTTTTATTTGACAGAATCAGCTTATTGCAAGTAAACTCACTCTTCCTAGCTCTTTTTGAACTCTGGCTTGTTCAAATCAGCTGTTATAGATCAAAATCCGCTCTGAGTTGACTGACTCAAATTGGCTTCTCTTGACTTCTTACTGAATTGCTCTGCTCAAAAAACTACTTCTGAACTCTATAAACTGAACTGCACTCACTGCAGGAACTAAGCAGAATGGAACTCAACCTCATTCAACTGAACTGCAATAAACTCAACTGAAGTCACTTTATTATGTCCCAATATTGCTCTTAAATTCTCATTCTTCTCTGTGCTCTTCTCTTGAGAGGTAGGCGTATCCTATCTCTGACTCACACTGTCAAATTTTTCAATGACTGGTCAATTTGTCTTCTCCTCAATTTGAAGTCATTTTCTTTTTTTATTGAATATTTTATTTATTTACAGTACAGATGTCATTCCCTTTCCTTATTTTCCCTCCCTAGAAACCCCTATCCCATCCTCCCTCCTCCTTTATGCTTTTATACCATTGTGATTACATGCATATATTAAGGTCAGATCTAGGTTGAGGGTCTAGCAATACAATTGGTGCAAATAGTCAAGTAACAAGTAATACAATAAACACAAATAGTCAAAGAAAAAGCAAGGTATTAAACCCAATTACGTGAATACTCCCATGATCACTGTTACTAAGGGCTTATCAGAATGACCAAAGTATCTGACACTACTTCTCTGTCCTAGTCCAAGGTCATTTTCATGTCTGAAGCCTACTTCCTTGTTCTAGCCTAAAATTTAGATGATTCCTGCCTGAGATTACTTCTTTATGCTAGCCTAAGATTTAGATTCCTACCTGCATTACTTCTTTTTTCTAGCCTAACACCAGATTCCTGCCTGAAGCCTAATTTCAAACATGGCTGCTTCCTTCTACAAACTAATTTACCTTCATTGTTAGGGATTAAAGATGTGTACTAAGGATGTGTCTGTATATCAGATAAACCATACTGAAATCCAGGACATGGATGCATTCTGCTTGGATCATATAGCCCTAGAAGGTCTTTAGATGTGATTCTTTGCCAGAGCAGCTATGTTGCTGGATGAAAATTCCTCTATATACTCCCCCTTTCTGTTTAAGCTTGAAATTGTGCATGGTTTAACTTTCCATCAAAAGCAAAAGTGTATACTAAGGTTATGTCTGTATTCTACTCAGAGAGATTAAAGATGTGTAATCCCAGTGTGATAATATAGACTTGAAATCTTTAGATATGATTCTTTACCAGAGAAGCCATGTTGAAGGATTAAAATTTTTGTACACTATCTACAAGTAATCATTGCTTAGTTTAGTTATAATAAATTAGCCTGTATGTAAAATAAATATGACTTTATTATGTAACATTTTCACTTCAGGCTTCTTTTCCTTATCAGAGTTAAAAATTAATCCACCTTTGTTGCTTCAGTTATTCATTTTTATTGTCAAGAATTCTAAATACAAATGTATTTCACGATTTTGTTAATGAATATTTAGATGATTTTGATCTTTGCTAATTAAAAATTAGTATTGAGATTTATATGAAATTTTATATAGAAATATATTTTCAGTATGAAAAAGTATGTAAATTCTATTGAACAAGTACATCTAGCATTTCAAGAAAGTCCAAAAATACGTCTCAACATATGTGAATCAAAATTCCATTTTACACATTTTGTGAATACGTGATATGGATTTATTTTGAAAAGTTACAAGCATTCTAATTGATGTGCAGGCCTATTCAAGTACGTATTTTCTTAATGATAGATTGTTTGTATGCTCATTTGCCAACCATCCTTGCCCATTCAAATGGTAGTCATTTAATTTAACACTTACGCTTATATTTTATTCATATGAAATGTCTAGAATTCTTGATCTAGAACTTCTTAAGTTCTTAACAAATATTTGATTTCAGAATACTTCCATATATGTATATATATTCATATATATAAATTATATGTTACACTGTTTTCAAAAGAAGTTTTAATAAAAATTTAATAAAATATAGCTTATGATTTGAATACATCAAACATGGTTAAAAACAAAGAAATTGTCACTTTGAGATAGACATTTATATTGAGAATGATAAAATAAATATATACAGACACTAAACATAGTAAAAATACTTAAAGCAATACTATGAATAGCCTAGGACTATAAAATCAAAATACTATTAAGGTAAATATTCCATTTTAGTGTAAAATATTTTCAGTAAGAAACTTTCTAGACAGGGGAGATACTATGATCAAATAGCTGGTTTTCCAGGGTGAGACTTACCAGTTTCACTCCTGATGTAAGGAACCCTGTGACTTCCCCCAAGGTAGGATACTAGACTATATAATATGTATGTGGTAGCGTTTGTGGTCTCCCCTCTGTTTATCAAAAAAAATAAATTACATTATTATGTTAAAATTTTCATTAAACATTTATAGAACATGTCTAAGTTTAATGAACTAAGTTGAAAATGTCAAGGTTTTTAATATCTTAATGACTAAAACAGGAAAATTATTTACAAGAAAATTACAGGAGACTGTCCTCACATACTTAGAAGTAAGTAAATTTTAGATGTAGATAAATTTAATATAAATTTTGGAAAATGAAATAGATGCCAGTAAAGAATTATAACTACATATCTCAATGTCAAAGATGATATTGTTCAGTTGTAGTTTCTATTGCTGTGAAGAGACACCTTGACTTCAGCAAGCCTTATCCAGGAAAACATTTAACAAGGGCTGGCTTACAGTTCAGAGGATTAGTCCATTATCATTATGGCTGAAAACATGGCAGCATACAGCCAGATATGGTGCTGGAGAAGTTGCTGAGTGTTCTAGATCCAGATTGTCAAGTAACAGCAAGAGTGAGTGATACTGGGCTTAGCTTGAACATCTGAAATCTCAAAGATATAACCTATTTCCTCCAACACGGCTGAACCTCCTACTAGTGCCACTCTGTATGCATTTACAAGGGCCATTTTTAACCTGAACAACACAGACACTTGTGATCTTCACCTTATGGTTTATTTTTTTTTTTGGCTTTTGTCAGCTACTCAGGTTGATCTATAAACTGTGTCATGGTTTGTAACATGTCTATTCTTGCTTCTAACTGCTATTATATGCATATCCACTACATTTTTTCATCTAGTTTGTCTTTACTTCTTCATGATTGAGGCACTGGCCAATAATAAAGACCTGGACCTTTGTAGAAAAATCTGCATTATACATCCCCTAGAGAAGAATTACTAGAACAAGAAATATACATGAGTAAATTAGTATTATTAGTAGTATTCTGAGTGGATTTTTGTGCCCACAGTGACACCATCAGTGACTGGGAACTGCTATATTCTGATATTCAGTAAGCATACAGTGCTTCAATTTTCAGTGTTTCATTTTCCCTAAGATATGTTTTTTCAAGACAATTAAAACATTTATCCATTGTTTTTTCATCTTTCTGATTTTAATGACTATATGCATGTCTACATAGTACTAGTAGCGCATTAGAATTTCTCACCTATACATTGCCATCAATTTAAGTTTAGAATTGTTATGTAATTGATATTGATTTCAGGACCTCCTTATGTGCTATTTGTGCAAAGGGCATTGTCAACCACATTATTTCTCCCTTAATTTGTGGCATTCATAGTTCAAACAATTTCTATGTGATCTCTCCCAGTAGACAAAAATCCCTTTTTGGTTTATAACCTTATTCTATCTAATAATAGCTACTAGATGAACTTCTGAGATATGTGAAAGCAGAAACCTGTCTTATGAGTCTTGATAGAAATAAGGTTCTCACAGTAAGATTCAAGACCAATTAGTTATAGTTCTAATGCCCTATGCTCCAATATGTTTAAGGAGCATTGCATGCTGATAGAAACCACTGTTCTGTCATAAAATGTCAAATGCATTATTCATAACACATAGCAGTAAAGCTGAATAATTAATACCTCAATATCACTGATAACCAAAGCTCCCCTTCCTCATGTCAATATACGATTTGGAAATTCTTTTTGATGCAAGCCCAAAGCACACATCACACTCTGTGGGAATTCTGCATTCTGAAAGATATATGCATGCACTCAAAATTTGAACCACAGCTATTGTGCATGTCAGCAATTACTTCCACCAAATCCCTGTAAATAGAGGTGAAAAATGAAGCTTACTTAGTCCTTTCAGAAGATAGAGAGTTGGTACACTGAAGTACTCACTTTAAAATAATGGCGATTGAATTCCATGCACAGTTCAGTTAGCATTCAGAAGTGGACCTTCTTCATAGTGTAGCTTGAAAACTAATGTAGAGTGGAATTAGATGGAAAGCATAGAAAAGATGGCTCAGGAAGGCATATGGTTTTTGGACTGTTCATAACTATGAGAATTAACACCTAACAAAGAGAAAGAAGACTACTTAATTTATAGTTAGATGATAAATATATATCACTTATTATACAAAATCTAAAGTTTCAGTTGAAAGGTATAAGCATCCCTTTAACTAACATTATTTTTTGCCTTTCCTAAGTGGCATCAGTTAATGTACATTTAACCAATGGAATATCTACACCACTCTAACCAGAGATCTGCTCTCTCCAGAATATCGGAGTTGTTTTTTTGCTTGTTTTAATCTATATTCTTTGGAACAACTGCTGTAATTGTGAGGTCTTAATCAATTGTGAGAATAATATGGATTATATATTTATAAGAAACTGTCAGCATCTCATGACTCTTAATTGTTATATAGAACAGTCCAGATAGACACTATTATGATAAGAAATAGGGATTATTATTGTTGTTGAAATGACAGTAAAATAAAGCATACAGGCATAGTCAAGGATTAAAAATTCCATTCTAAAACAATGATCATGACAAAGTAATTTTAAGTTAGGGTGATATATATTCAAATTGGTTTAAAATGTGGCTACAAATCTGTAAAATTCAATGTCAAATTCTGATTCTCTACTGGCATATTAGGAAGTGTGTTCTCTCTACACCCCAGGCCATTTAGGTATGTTTTCTCTAACAGTAACCTGGTTTCACAGAGAGTCATTTTTATTTCTCTTGAGAGTGCTGTAGCCTGAAGCATAAAGACCTACATCTACCCATGACAGAAATTTACCCCCAATCTGACCAAGACAAGATGATTTCAACTCTTATGTACAGGATGGCTTCCTGCTGCTCTTGGCTTTGTAAAAGTCTTTGTTGTTCACTCTCCTGAAGTTGTAGAGTTTATTTTTTTCCATTAACAAGAGAACATTTCAATTCTGCTGGCATCCCTTTAGTGATTGAGGTGGCATTACTGGTAACTTCAGCACTTTGAAATGGTTTCAGTCAAGTTTTAGATGACAATCCTCACACCATTACTGACACTAACAGTTTTCAAACAATACAGCCGTAAAAGAAAACCTAGGAATTACATGGAAAAGGGAAGGTGTGGAAGAAGCCTTATTCAAAAGGAGGATCTCCATGGACTTAACAATGTCCTTTATGCATTGACTGAACTCCAAACCGGCCTTTCCTATTGACAAGCTAAAGGTATTTCTCATAATAGGATAGTCAAGCAACAAAACCTCATTTCCTCTCAATTGAAGTGAAATTCTAAAGTCACTGCTTCAAAGAATGACCTCTTTAGAAACAGGGCAGAACATTTTAGCTCTGTTCCTTCTCCATCTGTGTGTACTTAGCAGGAAATTGTCTTCCATTCCTTGCCTTACTATAAAGAGACCCTTTGAGTAGGAAAAGAACAGAGCACATATGATAGTGTGATTCTTCGAACGATTCACATTTATTTTCCACTTAACTACATTGTTAGTCATTTGTATTGTTCTATTGGTTGTTCAGTTTCTGATTTTCCAAATGACTTAGATCTTTGTAAAGATATAAATGAACATCCACAGGACGTTCATTTAACATTTAACCCTTGTCATATTGAGGAAATATAAAGTGACAAAGCCCAATACAATTTTGCTTTAGGCATGGAATATGATAACTGCATGCTTTAATTTTGCAGTAGTCTGATGGGAAGTGTCTATTAAGTTAACAACATTTCTTGCTGTTTTGTTAAGGTCAGATGAAATTTTTTTAAAATTCTAGTCAACCACTTTACCATTTCTTTATCCCACTCAGAACACTGCTTAGAGTTTTATTTACATGTTTCTAATTATGAATATGAATTTCTTAGCATTGTGTTTATAACAATAATGTTACATTCATTTTCTTATTTTTTTACAAAAAGTTAGGAAGCATAGAAGACCATTTCAGAAACTAATCAGTTTATCATATGAAAATAGAATGATACCATTATGAATATCTAACCTTTAATTTTTTAAGGAGTTTGCAGTGATTTAATATATATTGAGGGCTTTGATGTTATTTTTCTAAATTTTATATTAACTTCCAAATATAAGATAGAATATTTAGTGCTCTCAGAGAATGAGAAATTGGCATTTTATTTCATCAATTTATTTACTATGTGATGGAAAATACTAGTAAGCAATCAATATCAAATAGTACTATGTGACACATTTAAGATTTGCCTGTATATATCTATACATAGCTTTAATAACCACATAAAGTGAAATTTACCAAGTTCTTGAGCCAGAAACATTCAGAAATATTTAAATTATTTTCACTACTCCTGTGATGTTACAACAGTATTTGTTAACTTTTACCATAATAATTTTAAACATTAAGTACCATTGCCAGGTTTTTTTTTAGATAACTTTCTTTCAAAATATTCACTAATTCTGTATGATGAAAGGATACATATTGTAAATGGATTAAGGCATTGCCTTTTCCTATTATTTTTGCTAATATACTATCATGTTTTAAAATTCTATAATAAATAAGAATACCAGCTACTAAATTAACATGAAAATGATATTAAGAACATTTATTCTGTTCTAACCATTATGCTTTCATAAAGAAGGTCACTTTAATGACATTTAAAGTGGAAATGTAAGCTTAAGTTTTGAGTGATAGTTCAATATTGTAAGACTCTGATGAGCCTTAGCTTACCGGGGATCCCCTGAGTGAACAACACTGAGCCAGGGTTCGATGCAAAAGCAAGAAGAATTTTATTGTTCCAGCATGCTGGGGTCATCCTGCATCCAATAGGAGAGCTGGTATTTTCAAATACAAGGTGAGATATTATCAACACACACTATGTTATTATCACTAAGATTAAATACTATAGTTAATATATATTACATATAAAGTTAGCTTACCGGGGATCCCCTGAGTGAACAACACTGAGCCAGGGTTCGATGCAAAAGCAAGAAGAATTTTATTGTTCCAGCATGCTGGGGTCATCCTGCATCCAATAGGAGAGGCAGCTTGTTTGGGGGACCTTTATACAGTTTCCAGGGGACAGAGTAGAGAAACAGC